GACCAGACACTCCCCAGCGAGCAGGGCAGCATCGCAGGGCAGCAGCAGACCGTCCTGAGGGATGATTATACAGTCACCGGGAACCAGGTCCACTGAGCTCACACACTGCTCTGCTGAAAAAACACACAACTAGGAATGAATGCCCAGGAAGAAAGTTTCAGGTTTAATGCAGAATGACGGGTCGAAAGCAGTCTGCCTTTACTTAGTCCAATGAAAATGACTTTCTGATTTGCTTTCTTTATTTTTACTCAGTTAGAAGAGATTTGTATTAATTCAATGCAATACAATCTGTAAACCTTTAAAAAAGAAAATCTTGCAAACTACCAAAACAAAAGCTTCTTTCATGAAGCCATCTTGTTTGCCCTCATGACCACAATTTGTCATCCCACATTCTTCATTAGATGCACAGTTACTGTATGTTTCACCTCACAAATGGTGTGGCTGTAAGCTGAGAATAAATGCTTTCTTATATAGCTGCCTAATGTTGTTGCTGTTTTAGTAGAATGCACAAAAAGGTCAGTTGGGTTTTGCCTCGAGGGAGTAACTGTCACACAGCTTAAAGTTGCCCTGTGGAGTTTTTTGTAAATAAAGTTTCTGTTTACATTCAGCGTTGCTCACCAAAACACACTGTGTGTATTCCTGAAGCCTACAAACATTTTAAATTAATTATAATTGTTATCGCATTTGCGTCCATGTTTACTCGCTCATAGTGATTTGGCCAAGCTGTAGCATGTAGTATGCAGTATGCCAAACGGTCCACTTTGCTTGATGTGTCCCACAATGCAAAGCGGTGGAAAATTCACAACAACCAGTCAGACCAACAACAGTAACATTTTTGTAAATATTGTATGCTATTTCATCATAGCATCATTCAGTTGGGTTTTGCCTAGAGGGAGTAATAAGTTAATGGTGAAAATTAATATAATGTGTTACTGCAGTTTCAAATACAGCTTTCCTCTTCCTTGTATTTTTTAAAAAACTAAGAAAAAACCTCTCAAACAAAACGGGTTCCTCTACTCCATAACACTACCAGTGGTCAAAAACTGACTCTTAAGAGAGAGACCCATGGTAACTTTTTTCATGCATGGTTTCAGCTCAGTTGAATGGTAACCATGGTAAATGGTAAATGGACCTGTACTGTATAGCGCCTTTCTAGTCTTCCGACCACTCAAAGTGCTTTTACACTACGTGCCACATTCACCCTTTCACACACATTCACTCAGTGATGGCAAAGTCCATCGAACAGAAACTAACTCATTCATATCTGATTGGGGGACGACCCGCTCTGGCTCTGAGCCACAGCGCGCCCTAGGCTGCCGTTGTAACAGGCGTCATTCTATATATAATATATATACTATAAAATATATATTATACACTCATTAGAACATTTGTCCTTTTAAATTTTACACACTGGACATTTAAATACATTGTTTAATTCCCAAAATGTTGCTAAATTATTGATTTAGTGCCTTTATAGTACCATAAACCTTTCGATTTGCTGCCACGCAGCAAAGAGAGAGATTGGGTTTGGGGAGTAGTCCATGTACGAGAGAAGGCAGCAGACCCTTCATTCTCTGTGGCCTTTGGAGGAAGAGCTTCCTGTTTGATGCCAAAAGAATAAAAAAAAATATGACTGTGTTATGCATCTCCTGCTCAGCCCAGGGCAGAGTTGCAGGTGCTGTTAGGAAGCATCCCTCCGGCTTCGGCCCGGGGAGAGACGCGATGGGAGAGCTTCCCAGTTTGCTACACAATCAATCAGAAATTCTGCTGGCTGATGCATTATTAAGTTTCCAGGGTACTATAAAGTTAGATGACCTTCTGTGCATCCTGCAATCACTCGCTTTTCATGTCCAGGGCTGCTTTAGCTATATTATAACAAAATAGCACAAAAAAGACCTCAATTCTTTAAACTCAACTTTTGTTTTTATCTGTTTTCATTATTCATTATTCAACAGTAAATTAAAGTAATAATAAAAAATGGTTAGAATGTAACAAGTATAACAACTTCATCAGGGGGTCAACACACATCGGGCATATGATGCATCAAATTGCAAGCTGTAAACATGTTTATTTCTGCTGTGTTAAGAAGCACAGAACTGTAAAACATTTTTTTTTATCAAGCAGGAATATGTTATAGTCTGTTTTAGTATAGTAATTATAATATTAGTAACTGAAGATTATACATAATATAATTAATAATAGTAATAATCATTATTACACAATACTGTAAAAATACAGTAAAATACTGTTTTGTAGTAATACAGTATTGTTCTCTATACTCTAAATTGCACTACAGCACAGTTCCAGTAGTGGCAACCAAGCTGCCAGTAACTTACTGTAAATATACAAGGAAATTCTTTACAATGTAAAGTTGGAGATTTTAATATGGGGATGTATGGAGATAATGTAAGTATATGTGAATCATGATCAAACTATAAGCAAATATAATGACAAAGGAAAAATCTTAACCCCAAGTATACGAACTAAACAAAAATATGAAAACATGGTATTGTTATGAAAAAGGTTATATAATATTTTGTAGTATTAATAAATACATTACATAATTCCCGCAGCTCAAACACATTCATTGCCATTCTCGTCCTGTCCACAAGATGCCCTCTGACTTTTCATTCCCAGTCATCCCACTCCCACAGTCAGCCACTCCCTTTTGCCCTCTCCCTCCAGTCACAGTCACCTGACTTTCCCCACGCCGCCCCCCGCTCACCTGTTTCCTCTATCTCTTGTTAGCTCTGCACTTAACCAGCTCATTTCTCACACTCTGTAAGTTCATCCTAGTTGGATTTTTGGTATTTGCTTCACCCGGTATCTGTCTACCTGCCTGTTACCTGTCTACCTGCTTACCTAGCAGCTGGCTATCTTTACCTGCCTGTAAACTGCATCACAAACAGATCACTAAAATAATCCTGCGGTCTGCTTCATCTGAATTTGGGCCCCATCATGTATTTCCTGAGCTGTGAAAGGAAATCATGATTTTTAATACTTTTGCACGGTAAAGTCACACATGTCCATATCCCATAGTACACTCACAGGTTTTCAGTGTGTTCACACTGGAATAGTGGTCAAATAAATACGACATATAAAAGAGACATTATATATACCAATAACCCTGCAAAACATGGCTGTTTTGTTCTGTCTGTGATCTTGAAGTGAACTTCTAGCTGTGAATTGATGTCTATCCCAGTAAAATCACCATTATTGCTGTCTTTTCTTTACTGCTAAACTAATTAAAACGTAACCATATACAGTATTACAGAAATGTATATATGAATTAGATTTGCATGCAGTTGTTTCCTTTAAAGAGTGTTTATTTTGCTGAACAGTGGCCACTATGGCCACATGTGGCAATTTCCAGATAATGGATAATAATGTAATTTTACTTAATTTCCCAAGATTTCCATCAAGTCAGCTGCTTGACGCATCATCATTAGGAGACTTGACTGAGAGTGGACAAATCCCAATCTCCACACGGTAAGTCCCCATTTTAAGACCTTTATGCACACTTTCCGTAAATCCACATTTGTGCAGACTTTGCCCCAGCGAATTACCCACAGTTCATAGCATTGTGATGTTCAAGACAGGGTAAGCATATACGACAACTCAATTCTGACTCCTGCGCCACACCAGTCAAGTTAGTGATGGTAATTAGGCTGTAAGCTGGTCGTAGGAGCCACATTAATCAGCAGACATGAAGGAGTTGGATGGAGGGCTGGATTCAACAAGAACGACAGAAACCATTCAAAATAATGTTATGTGTCTTATATATACTTTTTTA